CTGCTTTTTTACTTCTCTCTTCCCAAAATATGATAGTGAAATACCTCTCATAATGTTATTGCTGACCTCTTTTCCCTCTTTAGGTACCACTGTCACCTCTGCTGGGGATCTGCTCTCCCACCATACATCTGTCTTGTAAGACTGACTTTTATTGTGAAAATGAGCGTGCTAGCCTCAGGGCTAGTCCATGGTTCACTGCTGTATGTGTTTAGGACACTTAGAGGCAGAGGTGTTTATACTGATGATTGTTCTTACTTGGGCTCCCCATATTATTCATGCTGATCACAAGCAGAGCCTGCTTTACTCATACTCTTTAGTATGATTCATCATACTAAATGGTGCTGAAATTACTTTTATCAATTAACAATCTATCCCCTCAGGAGACTAAATATTCAAAATATGCTAGGATAAGAGCAAGCCTCACAGCTCCTTATTCGTTCAATGTTCATGCAGTTTGGGTGTCATATTAATATAATGAGTGTTAATATATTTGAGGAAAATTACCATGGTTAACAAAGTTGACAGTTTCTTGGTGAGATTTAGGGGCCAGACCCTCAGCTAGTGAAAAGAACAGTGAGTTTCTACAGTAGAGATCTCCATGACATACAGAGAGAAGATATTCTTTTTCCTGTATCAGGTAGATTTGGTTTCATTCTGAGAAGATCTGAAAGACACTAATTAAAATACTTCACTGTATCAGCTTGGTTCCCTGCCCTGCTCAAGGAACTCCCAAAAGCTAATGTCACTGCTCTCCTCTCAGGATTTTCAGGAATTTAAAATATCATTGGCAGTATGTTGCAAGTGAGCAAGATCATTGATGGTCAGTAGTCCCTACAGCCCCTATGTTCAATTTGTGGCAAAGGTACTGGCCCCATATTGCAACTGTAGTTGCAATTCCTCCCATTATTTTGGCTCTTTTTTAATCTGACTGCAGAGCATATAGCTAGTGCTCTCCATATATATTCTTAGCATCTGTTTTTCCCCAAGACCTAAACTTTGTTCCTGCCTTGTAACTCACAGGAGAGAAGTAAGTATGTGGCCAAGCGCTTAAGGGTTGTAACAGCTCTGTGACAATCTGAATTCCAAAATTCATAAGCCATATGACCTCTCTGGAGTCCCAGCTCTGTAGGCTAGTGCGTTTTGATGATGGACAAAGGCTAAACCCACCATCTGTACCAATCCCCTAAAGCACATGGAACGTATTTCCTCCCATCTGCTGCTGTGGGCAAGAGTCACCTTGTTGCACTCAAAAGGGAAGAGGAGGAGCTCTTGGGAAAGCTCTCAGAAGGCCATTGAATCTGTACTGGTACTATGAACCTTCCAAGAACCAGAACATAAGGGGGAAAAGAGAGGATGTGAACAGTTACAGGAAGCACAGGAGAAGTTAATGCTGCCTCTGAAAAAAAAAAAATCAAATCCCAGTGGATTTCTCATTTGAAAGTTGGATAGTCAGCAGGGATTTACTGAGAGGATATTTGTATTACCATCAGACCTCTTTAGGAAGTAAAAAGAGCTTTTGGGAATCTTAAAGAGAGCAGGAATCTGCAGAGTAAAGAAAACAAAACTCCTTTGGGTCCCCTAACCTTCTACAGAGAAGATGGAGAAACACGCTGAGCCTACTTCTGCAGCACTTCCTCTCCTGTGTTATAAGTCAAATGCAAGATGAGCAAGAGGAGAAGTTACACAGACTTAAAGTCCAGCTTAAAGCGCACTGTGCTCCCTGTGCACCTCGTGCTTTTCTCAAAGGAAAGCAGCACAGTCAGGTTGTTGGTCTGTGCAGAATGTAATGGCTTTTTCCCTATAGATACAGCATGGCACAGGGTATTGAAATGACACCCTCCAGGTCTGTTTAAGTAATCTGCAAAGCTGCTTGAGACATTTACATAAAATTTGCAATATACAAACCACCTTTGCTGAACTCTCTGTTCTCTGGAATAGAGACTTCTTTCCAGTCCCTGTGAAATTGTTTTTGATGTTGTAGAAAAACATCAGTAAAGCAAACAGCAGTTACATGTCAGTTTTTCCCCCAGAGCTGAGCTTTAAATGTCTGCCCAGCAATCTTAAACACATGAGTTATGAGTATGATAAAACATTTCTTTTTCTCAAGAGCCCAAATCCATTCCTGGAGTAATTGCAATAGTATTGAACTAGGGATGAATTCTCAGTGTGCTTTCATGTATTCCTGACACACTGTCTGCATTTCTGCTTTTGTGTTTCTTGATTGCTTATTGCAAAACCCTCTGTATGCTTAGAGATATCACATAAGCATGTATTCTTCTTTTCTCTCTTGGTATTTCGAGCAGTATCATCAACACCTAAAAGCCGACTGTGTTTGCCCAAAAAAAGATGAAATAGCTCATAATGAATAAACAGCATGAGCAAAAGATTTTTCTAAACATGTCACAAAGTGACAGAAAAATAAGTGGGTCGGAAGAGTCTGCAATAATCTGGCACAATGACTCAGCCGCAATACGTGTTTCTGTGGTCCAGTTACCAGGAGAATGCTGTGAGCACTGTCATTCCCATAATCTCCACAAGTGAGGTAACAGCATGAGTCACCTCTGCCTGCACCATCTGGACTGAGGGGGAGCAGGGCAAGGAAACAGAGAGGAGACCTTCCATTCAGCTGTGCCCTAGCAGGTCTCGGAGGCTGTGGAAGATAATGACAGGCAGGACTTAAAAAAGAAACTTTCTATACTGAACACAAAAGAAGTGTTTTGTTTCAACAGAAATTATTCCATAGCAGCTAAATTTTTCTGCTGCCTTTTCAGCTGAGGATAAAAAAACAAATTCCCTAGTGTAAGACCTAGCTACCATCTAGAGCCATGGATGGGGGGAAAAAGCAAAAATGATAGTAAAAAGCAGTAGGAAAATCACTAAATGCTCACCTTAATGGTCAGCCAAAGAAAAAGAGATGGCCAACAAGGTTGTCGAATGCTTAAGATTTCAGACTAAGCACTATTAATAACAGCTACATAAGCATCAAATATATTTTTCATTGATTTCAGGACAAGCAAAGCAGTTTAGTGTGTCTAGAGAGCCTTTGCTGAGTGACTTTCAAACGTAGAAATAGATCTGTGCTCCCTCTAGCATGTCTGTAAAGAGAGGGTCTGAGATTCTTTTGTTTTCCATTATTGCATTAAAGTGCTTGAAGTTAAAAAAAATTAGAGTGGTTTTGTTGGTTTCCTTCCATCTCTTCCAAGAGGGTTTGCAGGCACTTAGGTTATTTTTAGTTCTGTTTTAATATATTCCTATCCCAGAAGTAAAATGCTTGTAATTGTTAGAGTTTCTGA